CTGGGCTGCAGGTGAGGACGCCAGGCACAGTCGCTTCTGAGAAGAGCACGCGACAGCAGAGTGCTCCTGAGGGGCGCACGGGTGCCGAGTGAGCCACCCTGCCATGTGCCCCGGGGACTACTGCTGGTTCTGCTGTCCTTGCAGTGCTAGGCTGGCCTGGGAAACCCCACAGAAGAGCTTCTACACCATTTAAAATGGAGGACGTCAATAAGGAATAAGGCATCAGACACGTGAGTTGTTTATTTCCGTACGCAATGTCATGTTTAGGCACGCTCGGGTGCGATTTCTAAAAAAATCGTTGGCCATTGTTCAGAATATCCTTTTGGTTTTAAATACTGGTCAGGAAAACAAACGATGTAAAAATACGTGAATAATTTTCTATTACAGAAATGAAAAACTGATTTGCATCTAAAAGTGCAAGAGGTGAAGTAATTTAACCCTTTCACCAACGATACGGCAATACACAGTATATTGCTTCCGCTGTTTGAGAAGGCCGTGATGTATCTTTATATTGACATAGAAAATTATAAATTACATTGAATTAGTATCCATAATCACTATATATATACACAAACCAGCTCTAAAAAAATACACTGGTTTGGAATTTACGAGTGGGCGCCTGACGGGGACACAGTCAAACAGTGGACACGCACAGGCAGGCTCTGGCCTCCACTCAGAGGCCCCGACCCGCCACGGGCGCAGAGTCCCTCGACCCTGAAGCCCCAGCCTGCGCAGGACGCACTCTTATCCCGTTAGCAGCATGAGCGTTTTCAGCTGACTTGGCCTGTGATGTACGCAGGTTGTGACGTAGGCAGGCTGCTGTGAAATGCCCGTTGGTGATGCTTGTTAACAAGGTCATCCGTGGTGAACGGGGGAAAAAGGCAGATGCTACCAAAACAAAGCAACGACCCAACCCGGCCACGTACAGTCCCAGCAGCCTAGTGTTTCACCTGAACGCTAATCATTTCGAGCAAACGAGACTTTAACAGAACATATGGCTTTACAAGAACATCAATTTATCAACTAAGTTGTAGCAATAAATACTTCATCTCTACCAAAAGACTGACATTTTTGATCCGTTTTAAACAATACAGAGAACAGTTACCAATTGAAAACTGATTATAAAAAGAACTCCAAAGACTTTGTACTCAGAGATCACCAGTGGTGTTAGAACAACCCAGTCAACACACAGGGCATTTCAACGCTGCCGCTCCTTGTCAGCCGGGGGAGAACGACTTCAGGCTTTTGTACAAAGGGGAAAGGTGCATGGGAACTGCCTAATACTTTGGTCACACTAATAATTGTCAAATCATTATGCCTCAAATACAATAGATCTGTGTATTCACTTTTATAAAACTATTCTTACAGCCGTTTGAACTATGGCATGACTACTGTTGTTACATGGACGGCAAGGTCTTACTCCACAGACCACCCGTTATTTAGAACAACACAATATAAACATTCGCAAAAATTCCTGGTATTTGTCAATGTGCAATCTTTGTACATGTCCGAGTCTCTCTGTACAAGGTCTCAGAGTCTAGAGGAGAAAGGGTGCTGGTCCTGATCCCTTGCAGAATGAGTGCAGCAGTGACTGGCTCGGCAGGTCCGTGGAACCCTCCAGAAGCCCCTGATGGTGGCGGTCTGCAGTCCTCAGTCAACAGCAGCAGTGGTCACTCATCATACAGGGCCGTTGACTGACGTGTCACCTGGCACACTTGGCTGGTCAGTCCTGAGGGCCGAGACAAGAGACGGTGAGACACTGGACAGCAACTCAGCACAGGAGATGTGCCCATAGCCCCTGGCTCCCTGATGGCTGGAGCACGGCTCAAGGCTGTTTATCCAATGCCCAGCAGAAGGCCTGGCACTTGGCAGGCACTTAACGGACTGCCTCAAAGAATGAACCTCAAACTCCAGGAAGTCCGACAGTCGCACCTAAGCTTCCCCCACGGCTATGGGGCACAGGCCTGGGCTGCAGCACAGGGGCCTGTGGACACCCCCCAGCTCCTGGAGGCAGACCAGGCTAGGGGTTCCAGGAGGGGCCCTTGCAGCGGCCCCAGGAGTGCGTGCTAGCTCCGCTGCGCCCATCAGAACCCACTACCGTTTCACTTGACAAACGGGACTCTGATGCTGGGAAAGAAGGAAGGTCTGGTCAAATGAAGACCACTGACTGGAAACCGAGGTGTGCGGCACGTTAACAAAATCCCCAAAGGCGACGAGGGCTGAGCCGGCGAACACCACACACACTGGTGACAGGACAGAGCAGGCTCCGCCTCCTGCAGGACCGGCCCGAGCGCGTCGGAGACGCTCTAAGGCCTAAGCATCTCACGAAGCAGACCTGGGGGATGAGGCCCGGCACCCTTCTGCACTGGCCCTCAGGTGTGGAAGGGGCTGCTGTACACCCAAGGCGCACACGTGCACGCGACATCTACGGATTGCAGCAGAACACGGAAGCCATCTTCACACACACCCCTCCTCCGCTGACATCAATGGTGTCTCGGTCCATCGGAGACCCCAGAAGGCAAAGTTCTGGAAGCAGACAGAGTGAGGCTCGTACCCGGCCTTCACCACCCTCACAAGCTGACTGTGTCAACTCCGTAACCTCTGTCAGCTCAGCTGTCAGCGGCTGGAAAGGAGAACAAGCCCCTGCCCCCAGTCGGGTTAAGCACACAATGTGTGCCCAGTGCCTAGCACACTGGCTGGCACATGATGTGTGCCTGATCCATGTAGTGAAAACAGGACTGATGGCCAACAGCACAGCCGCCCTTCAGAGGCCATGATGTGGACTGTGATGGGGCTGCACAGGAAGACATACCACCAACCCCGAATGAGCGCGAGCCTTCAGTGCTGCAAGTGGTACACAAGGGCTCGGGGACACTCAGAGACTGCCCTGCCCCTGCCCTGACCAGTCCAGCGTCGCCCTTCCAGGGAGGCCTTGCCACCACTCTCTCACCCAGCTTTCTTCACTCGTCCCGTCCTCCAGGTGGCCTCTACCATCTGTGTGCCTGCTGTGTGTCTCATTCCGTCACCCCGCCGAGGGCTGGCTGTCACACTCCCCCGTGTGCTGGGTGGAGCCTGCAGCCTCCCTCTGCAGCTCCCGCCAGCTTCCTCCTCCGCCCCCAGCCTGCGGGTCTGAGACAGATGCTTGTTGCAGGTGTTTACTGGAGGGTGGAAAGCAGGCGGGTCTCCAGAGGCGAGGGAAATACCATCACAGCCCCTGCGTCACTGACTCAGAGAGAACAAGGGCCAGCCCCTGAAGCAGTGAGCCCACAATGGGACGCAGCTGGGTCATGCTGCCTACCAGACAGCCCCGTACACAGAAAACCTACAGAGGGATCAGGGGCTGACGCAACGGACTAGGACCCAGAGCTGCAGGGACCTCTGAAAACAACATTCAGCACACCCTGCTTGGGCCGACCGGGGCGCTGGAACGTCACCTGCCTGCCTGCCGAGGCCTGCACTCGGGCCGCAGGTACTTCGTGTGTGTCAGGACTTTCCAGGCATGAGCCAAGCTCTTCGTCTTGGCGTTAGTGTCCCAGGGAGAAAGGCGGGTTTGCAACACCATGCAGATGCAAGATTGTTGGCCAGTGGGGAGAGAGTTCCCCCTGCCAGGCCCCTAGTCCTGTTACCCACAAAACACCAGAGGTGCTGGGAGTGGGGAGGGAAGGGCCTCTCTGAAATGGCTTCCAAGGCTGCTTTCTCCGTCTGAGTGGACGTGCCCAATGAGAAAGGGCCGTGGGGTTCCCTCTGGCAGAGGACAAGCCATCACCCCAGTGTGTGCTCCGGGGCCAGCAAGGGTGACCTCACGGGAGGGGCCCCCCCGAGGTCCAGGACCTGCCATACCTCAGACCACGAGCTCAGTCTAGGCACAAGGCCACCAGAAAGAAAGCATCACGTTCAAGTCCCATGGCTCTGGTGGTAGGATTTTAACACTTTAAAATAAACAGGTTAAATGCTATGAAAAGCCCAGGGCAGAGCTGCGAACATCCAGCTCCAGCCATGAGGTCTCAGGGACGCTCTCCAGGGCGTCACAGAGGCTGACGGAGGGAGGGCCAACGGCAGCAGCTCTGCAGGCATCAGGAACCCCATGTGGTGGCTGCGTGACCTCACAGGGCCAACGAGGACTGGGCCAGGGCCCCGGGAACACCAATCCCGGACGGGGCCCAGCATCGCTCTCAATGCAGAGCCTCATAAAAAGGGTGCCTGGCAGCCGGGGCCTTTCCATTCCCAGCGATGGTGCCTGGAGGGCCAGGGTGCTACGACTCCCTGCTCAGGAGATGCTGAGACCAGCCGTTCAGCCTCTGGAGCAAGGAGGCACAGCCGCACATTGAAGTTCCCCTGAAGTCAGGGAACCACCAACGTTCTCAGTAACCCAGCAACTGCTGAGAAACCAGCTGGGAGGAGCCCTCCAGCCCCGCCCTCCCCAAGCCGGGAACCAGCAGGCACGGTTGGGGGTTCTGGTGGGGTCTGGCCAACGGGCACTCACCTCTGCTCTGGGCCACTGCTGGGGGGCTGGGGGGCTGTGGACTTGGCCTCCGCCCTCTCAGGGCTCCCCTCTGCTGCGCGTTTACCAGCAGCGTCTTGAGAGGTAGACAGTTTTCCGTCCTCACTGCAGGAAAGAGGGCAACAAGGAGCGTTACGTGCACTGGTGCAGCACGAGGCGGGCCACAATTGCATGCAAATGGTGTGGGTCATGGTGGCCATGAAGGCAGAACCCTCAGGCTGAGCATGCTCGGGGACAAGCACAGGCACAGACAGTGGCCGGGCGGTCACAGAGGAGGGGACCACATGGCGGAGGCCAGAGGGATGGTGTGAGGCAGTGGGAGTCGGAGGGGGCCGCGGGTACCGCACATACCGGTAGGACTTCAACACTCTGAAGCCAAGTGTGCAAAACAGAAAGAGAAATGTACAAGAGTTTCAGAACCCTCCTACAAGTGAGCAACTGGGGACAACACGTCCACAGCCGCCCGACAGCAAAGCTGCAGGCTCGCGGAGCTGTCACAAGAACCTGTTTGAAGGAAGGAGTCTTTAGTTAAAGCGTTACGCTTCCAAGGCTGAGCCCACCATGACCAGCTGGCCAGACCTCACCATCTGCTGGCTGGTGGCCACCGTCAGGTGAGAAGCAGGGTCCAATGCCTTTTTGGGGGCTCTCAAGTAACGTGTGAGAAGCACCAAGACCACAGAGAAAAAGAACCAGGACCAGTGAGGAAGATGGGACCCCAAGAGGCCAGGGCCCGGGGCTCCTGTTCCCCTCAGATTGTTCTTGGAGAAGGGAACGAGGCGGAAGCGCTCCCCGACACTGGCAGCCAGACCTGGCCTGCTGCGTCTGGGGGTGTCGATCTCAAACAAGATCGAGTGGCACAAAGTACTGACACATGTTCCCTTTGGGGAGCCTGGTCTCATTCAGGGTTTGTGCACAAAAACCCCAACATCAGGATGATTCTTGGCATGGCTTCCAGATGGTTCATGGCATTTGTAAGTAGAAAAGAAATCAAAGCTGAGCACCTCGGCCACTCATCACTCCTCAGGAGCTCCCCCAACGGCACCCCACGCCCGCCCCTCCCGGAGCAGTGATTCTGCTGAACGGGAAGCACCACGTCAGTTCACCTGTGTGCGTGCGGCCACACCAGCACCACTGCACGGCACACCTCGACGCCGGGATCTCCCTCACGTCGGCTCGCTGTGAGCACCACTGTGCTGCTGCTGCGGGGACAGTGGGGCCACTCCTCTGGGCGGGGGCACAGCACTCCAAGAGGAGCACCTATCATGTTCCACCTGGCCTCACAGTGAGACGGGCACCAAGACTACCCCACCTCCAGGGCTCTCAGCAGCCATCACCGTCCACGTCCCGCCATGGGGCTGCCCGGGCATTCCTTAGGGCTCTCCATCTAGGAGTGAAGATGCTGGGCCACCTTTTCACCTATGGGTGCCTCACCCTCCTCTCCAGATGCCTGCCACTGTCTGCACCCCTCACCAGTGGGTAGCAGGGCTCCGTGAGCCCGCCAGACCCCACCACTGAGCAGCATCTGCTGTAGGCTACCTGTCCTTTAATGGCCCCAGGGATCCCTGACTGCTCTCTATCAGTCCGTTTCTCACGGACTGGGATACTCTCAATGTTTCCTTTTGTCCATCTTGTCCAGAGGACACCATCAACCAGGAAGCCCTAATGGGGACAATCATGCTCAATTCTCTGCACCACAGTTTAGGCTTTGAGTGCCATAGCTCCTTCAGGCTCCTCCGTTAATGACATGGCACCTAGCTCCAGGGCTTCTGTGTTCCTGGGTGGATCGCGGTGCTAATCACGACAGGAGCCCTGAGAGACGTACGTGAGGGAAGCACTTGCAGAGCAGTGTGCATGCTGGCCCGGTCCTCTCACGTGAAGTCTGGGTCCCCTGGCAGCCCCCTCAGGGTGTGGGTAATGCAGGACCTTGTCTCCTCTTCCTCATGCTGACCATCCCTTCTGCCCTGCATCAGAGCCTCTCGTCCACCACCCCGGCCCCTCCTCCATCACGATGACTGTGCGGAGGACCGAGTATCTGGCAGGTGAGTCTCCTTGAATCTTTCTAGTTTTCTAAACACTTTGGGACCTTTTTCATTCCATGTGATTTCAGGGTGTGTTTAAAGATCCACGGGAATTTTTAGGGGGACAGCATCAAGTTCACGGATTGAACTCTGTGCACATGCGCTCCCACACTTGATTCTTCCCCACCACACTGCCTGTGCTCGGCATCAGTATGGCCCTGGGGAGTCCGTACATGGCGGGGCCCGAGTTCCGTGCACGGCGGAGCTGTGCTCATGTGTCCTCGTTCCTGTTTCAAGTTTTTCGCTTCTACCACGCCCCACTTTCTGACCCAAGAGTTTACAAGTGAGGCTATCTATGTCCCAGTAGAAGTTCTTTTGTTTCCTTCAAGACGCTGTTTGGAAGGCCTTCTAATGACTTCACGACACCCAGAGAGAACAACCTGTACGAGATGGAGCCCCCAGTTCTGAAGACCCATCTGCGCAGCCTGTGGACAAGCCAATCTCTACATGACTAAAGACGTGGGAACCCTCCTAAGTCTGCCAGTGCCTTACCTTCATATCTACTGATTCCACTAAACTCCTAATTCTATTTCTGAGTAACAGTACAGTCTTCTGAACACAGAAATGAGAGCAAGAGGGAGAGCAAGGGGCCCATGAAGGTACCCACCTCTCCATTTCTCCACCAAGATACGCCTTTGAAAGGCCTAATGGAGACGCGACAGACATCTGGTAGCGCCTGAGCCCACCCCAGAAGCACGTTTTTAACGTTCTGAGCCGTGCTCTCCCCACTGTCCTCCTGGGAAGCTGAGGCTGAGGAGGGGCGCCCTGGTTACCTTTTGAAGACTGCAGTCTCCGTCTTGGCGTCGACAGTGAGGCTGAGTGTCTCCTTCATGCCGCCATTCATCACCGTCTCAGTTACCTCGTCTGTGCTCCCAGCGTCGTCCTCCCCGTCAGAGCTGGCTTCCATGGCCACACTGCCTGGCACTGGAAAGAACACACAGCGATGGTCACACCCCCAAAACCACAGGGCAGCAGCCCCTCCACCGGGTTACATCTGTGACTGAGGTGGGGGACAACGTGGGCTGGGCTGCTGCTGCCCGGCCAGACTCTCAGCGTCACTACAGAGAAGTCCAGTTCCTGGTTTTCTCAGCTACGGGCAGGCGGGCCCCCGCGGTCTTTCTGCTGAGTCTCCCCCCACCCACTCCCCAGCACACACTCTTGTCCTGGGTCTTCCTGAAGCCGCGGCTCAGGGCTCAGCAGGGGCTCCTGTCGGCTCCCCCCTCCTCCACGGCTTGACCCGATGCACGATTCTAGTTCACTCTTCTCCTGTCGGTTCCCCCCAACCAGGTCCTATTCTTTTTAGTTACTTCCCTGTGGCCTGTCTCTACAATAGGAGCCATGTGGGACCACCACTAAGAGCCTGTGCTCTGAGGTCAGACCACCTGGCCTCCAATCCCAGCCTCACTCCTTACTGATGAGCTATGTAATCCTGCAGCTAGGCACCTAATCTATACCTTAGTTTCCTTAACCATCAATGGGGAGAACTGAATCCACCTTCTAGAACTTTTGAGGGAGAAAAGGAAGTAACTGACATGAAATTATTAGAAGACCACCACAGAAAACGAACCAAGGGCTAGTGGCTGGTTTTGCACCTCCCCTGAGCCATGCCACCTGCCGTGCCCTGGACTCTTTGTCTAAGGAATTACTCCTTTGTTCCCGCCTGTGGTCTTGCCTTCCAAGGACTCCAGGTCCCCACACCCGAACGTTGACAACGCCTCCCTTAGCCCTATTCCGACTGAACACAGTTCAGGACCAATGCAAGGAGCACATATCAATGTTGAGTAACAAGATGACCCACGGGAACTTACACGGATGCCCCTGACCACAGTCTATCTCTAAAGGCAATGAGGTAGGAAGGCTACAGCTTGCAATACCCACATATACACTGAAGCCCAGCAACTCTGAGGGCGACAGCACTGGGTGCGGCTGGGCGTGAAGGCCCAGGTCTGCTCTGGTCTGGTCTCAGTCAACCTGGCTGATGCGCTGGGGCAGACTCCTTTTCTGGGCCTGCTTTCCCGTCTGTACACCAATAACTGAGCCCCGTCCTCAGAGAACAGGCATGCTGTGGGTCTAGAATGACACCCACCTTCTCCTCGCCAGTGGCCCCATGAACGGGGGCCCAACATGGCCCACTTCTCATCAGTGGTCCTGTGGATGGGGACCCCAGGACACCCAACTTCTCATTAGTGGCCCCATGGATGGGGGCCCCAACATGTCGTACTTCTCCCTGTCAGTGGTCCTGTGGACAGGGGCCCCAACATGCCCCACTTCTTGTTAGTGGCCCTGTGGATGAAGGCCACCATCTCATGTTCCTGGCTCCTTTCAGTCCTGAGCCTTGCAGACAAAGACAACTTTTCAGAGGTAGACAGCGAAGTGTGAAGCTCAAGCTTAGGCAACAGCACAACCCAACGACCATGTGGGTGTGCCCCTTGGGGCTCCTGACACGCACCTTCAGGCTGTGCTGGGAGGGCGGCCACAGTGCTGGTCAGCGGGTCCAGGCCTTCAGTGCTGGTCTCCATTTCCACAGGAGAATTACTCCTTAAAGAGTCTTTTGTACTTTTAGAAAAAAGCAAGGTCAGATGTTAACAGTGGGCACAGTCCCTGCTTACCATCCCTCACGTCCCACCTTTGAAGAGCATGTCAGGTTTCATCAGGGAGATGTGAGCAGCTGTTTACAGCTGCTGGGTTACTGACTCCCACGATAAGGTCATCTAAGTGAAGATGTGCCCGAGGCACACTGGAGGGGGGCAGATGTCACTGTCCGGTCAGGACAAATAAATGCAGGGACTTCTTGGAGGTTTCTGGGCAGGTGCACAAGGCCTCTCCACCCCCAAGAATGGCAGGCAGCTCTCAGGGACTGAGAGCAGAGGTAGACAGCAGACCATCTCCACTTCATCTATTAAACTAACTGCTTTCACAAAAGTCCTTGGCATGCTGAACCAAACTGTGTGGAAGGCCAGGCCTTCTTTGCCGAGGCTGACTGTTGGCACTGTGCAAACACCCAAGAAAGATCAGGTAAATGGACGGTAGGGTGTGTGTGTGTGTGTGTGTGTGTAAGTGAACGGGGGTGTGCATAACTGAACAGCAGTGTGTGTGTGTGTGTGTAACGGAATGGTGGTGGTGTGCGTAACTGAATGGGGGAGGTGTGTGTGTGTGTGATTGGTGGTGGTGTGTGTAACTGTGTGTGTGTAACTGAATGGCAGGGTGTGTTCATGTAATGGAATAGTGGTGTGTGTAATTAACTGAATGGGTGTGTGTGTAACTGAATGGTGGCATGTGTATAATGGAATGGCAGGGTGTGTCTGTGTAACAGAATGGGGTGTGTGTAACTGGGGGTGTGCATAACTGAATGAGGCATGTCTCTCTAACTGAACAGGGTTGCATAACTGGCAGTGTACGTGCGCGTGTATAACTGAATAGTGGTGTGTGTGTAACTGGGTGGCGGTGTGTGGGGGGGTGTGCGTAACTGAACGACAGGGTATACACATGTGTAACTGTCTCTCCCCTTTGACCCCACCACCCTGCACACCCTGAGAAGCCTGTGTGGGGCTGAAGGAAAGTGCGCTGCTCCACAGCTCTCTAGGTGTCCCAGGCTCTTGCTCTCAGGTCATGAAAACAGAAGGGGTGGGCACGTGAGCTGCCTGCACTGGGCTGCTTGCTGAGGTAACTCCTGTCCCACAGCCACTTTCACACCTCACTGAGACCTCTGACGCTCACTGCTGGGGACACAGCCGGCTTAGGTTTACCAAGGATGGTAGCTGTTTGTTCACCACAGCCTGTTCTCCTACCCCCTACACCACTAGTTGTGCTTAAGGACCAGATGTGAGAGACAGGGAAAGCCACCAGGTCTGTCAAGTAAGTGGTGGAGATGGAGTTTTCAGAAGACAAAGCAGATGACACACAAACCCGTGGCTAGCACTCAGAGGCCACCATCACTCTTCAGGAAGACCATGAAGTGACACGTTCCTGTCACCACGAACAACACAAAGGGCAGCACTTAAGTCACACATGAAAACAGTTACGAGTGAGACACAAGTCCTCGCTATTGATCCGACACTGGTTCCTCTCGTCGTTCCCGGAGGCGTCTGCCTGGAGGCCCGACTTGCTCCTCTCCTGGTCACAAGCCCCACAGCACAGTGCAACCAGAGGCTCTCACAGACGTGTCACCCTCCTCCAGGTTAGGCACGCTCCCAGGGCTACACTGGGAGGTGAAGGGCACGCTGACTGCAAGCACTCCATGTGGTGGTTAAGTTTGTGTGTCAACTTGGCTGGGCCTGGTTGAGTGGCTGGGCAGCTGGATGTAGTGTTCCCCATGATGAGACTGGTAATCAACTCCATGGTGGGATCTACTGGGAGCAGCTGAGGTGTTGCCTTTGGGCATGTGGTTTGCTTCCCATATACAAGAAACAGCTTTGGGAATGGTCTCTAGCTTATGGCATGCTTGAGCCCTGCATGTAGCCATGTCGTCAGCCATGCTCTGCTGACTTGGGAACTTCAATGCACTTGTTTGGTTTGGTAACATCGGGACTGTGCCTTTTTACTTGACAACCTTGGGCTTGTCAGCCTCAGCAGCCAGTAGCTACCTGAGTAAAGAGATGCCTCTGGCTTCGGTGGGCCGGGAGCAAGAGGCAGAGCTGAAGCCCAAGGCTGAGGGGCTTTCACACAGCCCCTTGAGCCTGGCACTTTGAACTCGGACTTAAAGCCTCCAAACTGTAAGAGAATAAACTCGTGTTTGTTAAGGCCATCCCATTTGTGGTATATTCCTATCAGAGAGGCACTAGGGAACCAGAACACTCCACCCCCAACCCTGCTTTTCTCCCAGGGGACGTTTACAGGCACAGGGGACAGTGCCGCTCACTCACCTCAGGGAAGTCGTGAACTCTGAGAACGAAGCCCAGCCCGTCTCCTTGGCTGGCATGGGCTCCTCTGTACTCCAGACGTCGGAGCCCACCGAGTCTAAGGGAGCACCGTGGGCTGTCTCCATGGGGACATCGAAGTTGGCCGACCAACTGGGTGCTAGAAAGGGGAGGAAGTGCAATGGGCACATTTTCAGGAGTTTACTGTAATGCACGCTATCTGTCAAGAACAGGTTAGCAATGGGAAAAGCCGTCAGCCGCTGCCGGTGGAGCTGTGAGAAGGGGATTCTCAGCCTGACTGCGGGCGCGGCAACGGCACCACCACCTGCAGGACAACCTGACAGTGCTGATCCTGGCGCACAGTGCTTGCTTCCTCTGATCCAGCGATTCCATTTCTGAGAATTTACCCAGTAGGAGTGTCACACAAGGACGCAAAGCCACACACGAGATAGTGTGTTTGGTTTAAGCGGCAAAGGCTTTGTTCTGGAGACTTCCCTGCGATTCAGAAGGAACGTGGCACTGCCGATGTCTTCACTCCCCAGAGGCTCCTGGAAGTGCACACTTTTCCGTAACTAAAATGATCCCAAAACAGGAAGTGAACTTTCAGTTAAGGTGAGAGTACACTGGCTACTGAACTGCAGTCAATTGAAAACCACCCCTCCTGCTTCCCAGGCCCCACCTGGACCCCATGGTCCCGGCCCTGGTCTCCCGTCACCCTGCGCAGTCAGCACATGCCACGGGCAGCGTCCTCCATCCTGGGGCGTGCTGCTACCCTCTGGCTCTGGCCTCTGCAGAGCTGGGCCCCTTCAGGCTCCCTCAGGGTTCCAAATGGGCTTTCAAGGCACAGCACGTGTCTTCTCCATGGGACATACACAGACGCCCCAGGTCTTGTTGGGGACATGCTGGTGCAGAAACCACTGTCCTCTGCTATCGTGGGTGTCTGGTACCACCAGTGGAGAACCCCAGGCTGTGAGGAGGGAAAGCTAAGGAACCTGCTCAATAAGGGGGGCTCCCCTAGAGACCAAGGATGGAGAAACACTCCAACCTTAGACAGATCTCACTTGGGACCAATCATTTCATCTCCCCACATTATTCAACTGTCCATGTTCAAATAGTACCCACTCCTTAGCAAGGCTCTGGGGAAGCTTAAATGAGGGTCTGGGCACAGTGGGTACTGAATGAGGGTTTATGTCATGGCCGTCAAGTTGCATGATGTGACAGGCTCCTCTGATACCTGAAGGCATGATCACTGTGACACCGTCACCTGTCTCCTGCACACCAGGCTCCGGAAGCGCAACACCAGGCTCCGGAAGCGCACCGTGAGAACCTCACTCCTGCCACCAAGCCCTGGACTCTGGAAGCGCGCCGTGAGAACCTCACTCCTGCCGGCGAGCCCCGGACTCCGGAAGCATGCCGTGAGAACCTCACTCCTGCCCGCCGACCCCAGGCTCTGGAAGCACGCCGTGAGAACCTCACTCCTGCCCGCCGAGCCCCGGGCTCCGGAAGCGCGCCGTGAGAATCATATTCCCGCTTTACAACCAAGTGAGGTGGTACAACCCAGTTCCCACAGGCACCCTCCAGGAACCCCTTTCCCAAAGGGACTCCTAGAACCTTCTAACGTGAGAAACTCTTCTGAACTGCCCAGAAACTTCTGAAAGCCTCCAGAGGCCCGCTGAGTCAGAGGCTGGGGGCAGGTCAGCCCTGGGACAGAGACCCGCCTGCGTCCCCAAGGTTCCCACCCACCTGAGCACCTGTGGAGATCTGACCCTGAAAACAAAGCCTTTCCAGGCACCACAGATACAGGCGGCTGGGACCTTGTCATGCTGAACCAGAGGGGAGGGTGGCTGTGACTTCTTCAGGAGGCCTGCTCTGTCTGCCCCTGTCCCCCTCCCTGCCCCCCAGTTCCAGGACACAATGGCAGGGGCATGGAGCGTGTCCACCACACCCACCCAGCCACCTCCAGGCAGCAGATGCTCTGGGGCCAGAACAGCAGGCGCCTATGCTGACCCTCTTCTCACCTGCAGCCCGGTCCCCACCCCTGCAGCCCTTGTGTGTCACGTTGTCACTGTGGCATTCTAGGCGTCTTCCTGCCTCTAGCAGGCGATTTCGAGTCCAGCGTTCACACTGGTGCCACAAGGGATGATCCCGAAACAGACTCCCAAGTGCTTGCACAGTGCAATCCCCAGGGGCTCCTAAACTGACCGTGACCCCCACCGGCACCCTGGCCACTCGCCCGCCCAGCAGCTCGGCCTTTGAGAGCCGCGCTCAACAGCCGGGGGCTCTGCACCTTCCCACTAGTGGTGTCCTCACTCTCAAACGAGTCCCAGAGGCCTCTAAAGACGCTCCAGTGAGCTGGGCCCTCCTCTGACGCCCACAGTAGCACTGTGTTCCCCTGCCTGCATGGGAGACACTGAGTTCCTGCAACGGCATCAGACCCACGGTGGAGCCTGGCGAAGGCACAGGGAGCCGCAGGGAGAAGGCCCTTCTGTCGGCCTCCCCACAGGTGCTGGCAGAAGGGGTTGAGACAGGAACAGCCTGCTCTTCTCTTGCTCCCAGTCTCCAGATCTGAAGGCATTAGGGTTTGCTGGATTACAGCCAAGGACCCATGTGGTGCTGAGGTGGTGAGGGCCACCTCCTTAAAAGGCCTTCCTGGAGGGGAGGCAGCACTGGTGGTCTTCAGGAAAGGCCCAATATCGACCCATGCGGCTCTCTGACAAAGACGCTTCTGAACTTTCAGAAGTTTATGGCTAACTCAGCTCTGGCTGGCAAGTGGCCGGGCGTAAACAAGGCCTCAGCCGCCCGCATCAAGGCCACAAGTCTCACAGAAAAACCAGAAAGAACCCACTTGAACCATCTGAGCTTTCAAGAGTCTGCTCTGTTTATTCCACTCACGATGCTACAGAACATGACGTTGCCTCATCTTCCCACGACCTGTGCCTCTCGCTCTGCTGCAACGCCCATCCCCGGACCTACTAGACGGAGGTGTGTCCAGAGTTCCAGCCACCCGCCCAGAGCTTCCAGACAGTGAAACAGTGTCTCGCCGCCAAAGGCCTTCATTGTTCCTTCCCCGAGGTCTGGTCCTTCATCTTAGACCCCCAGGTGTTGTTACCTGTCATTAAGTCAGTCCCCGCTCATAGTGACCCCATGTATGACGGAACGAAACACTGCCTGCTCCCGCACCAGCCTCACAATCTTGGCTTCCCTTGAGCCCACCACTGCAGCCACTGTGGCAACATGACTCATGGAGGGTCTTCCCCTTCTTGACCCTCTCCCTCACCGAGCATGACATCTTCCTCTGGGGGTTGACCCTGCCTGATACCATGTCCGAACTACATGAGACAGAGTCCTGCCGTCCTAACCTAAGGAGCATCCTGGCTGTACTTCTTCCTGCAGTGCCTGGTACAGTCGACATTCTATGCCAGCACCACAACTGCACCCATCAATTCTCTGGGTCTTCCTTGCTCACTATCCAACAGGCACACTACAAGGTACTTCCTCAACCCTCTCCCTTCAGATGTCACCAGAGCTGCAAATCTACATGTCTACTCCTCAAAATACCCAATCCCAACACACAGCACGCAAGGTGGAACAAAGGCACTTACGCTCATTCAAGTCCACCTCCATCTTGTCCTCTGCATTGGCACCACTGGGTCCAAACAAGTCTTGTTTGGCTCCGTCTTCCTCCTCAGAGTCTGTACTTTCCTCACTGTCTGTACTCCCAGAGCTGGAAGAGAAAGACAGAGGACCAAACGGTTAATGCTGCCTTTTCAGCCATCAGCCAAACCCAGAAAACTATAAAGGACATCAACAACATCTTTATGAAAGCAGGCCGCAATATCTTTCTCCTATGGATCGGCTTGTGGAGCTGAACCACTGACCTACTGCTTGGAAGCCCAGTACTTAACCCCTGTGCCAGCAGGGCTCCTTGTAAGGGACCAGATGGTAGGTGTTTTTGGCTTTATGGCCCCTGTGGTATGAAAGCCAACAAACATAAACCGCAAAGGCCGAGGTGGCTGATCCAGTCTGGTTTTGTTCTCACCACGAGGGAGGCCACATTTGGCCAGCTCTCCTAGGAGCCACCATTGCTGTACCACACAGGCTCTGCTTCAAGATGGTGGTCAAAATCGGAGAAACTGCCTTTCAGTGGGGGTGCACAGGCCCTGGGCAGCACACACAGTTAAGTACCCAGCTACTAACCAAACCTTGGATGCTCCAGTCCCCTGAAGGTCACATCAGAAGAAAGTCCTGCTGATCACTTTTGAAAAACTAGCCCCTGACGGCCGACAGACTGCAGAGCCTTTGAGGCCTAGGCTGAGGGGGGCCCAGCTGGGTCCTGTGGTCCCGGAGCCCCAACCTGAGGGTGGCCAAGCTCTGTGTCCTCATCCTCGTGCCCCAATCTGAGGGTCAGAGTCAGCACCACTCAAAGGTACCGGGTTTGGTCTGATGGTAGCAGAGGGGCCTTAATGAAATGTGCAGACACCTGGAGTTAGGAAATTAAAGGGGAAGAATATGCTCAGCATTTTTCAAGCTGAAAGAACTGAAGAAAAAATTCTAGCCTTAAGTTGCAATA